TTAATTTGGCCACATAAAATTCCGAAGCACCAGAAGCAGCCACGTAGACTCAGCACGTTCTGGATTAATATATAGGGAGATGTTTATCTATTTTTTTTTTAAAATATGTTGATTGTTTCAAACAAATCTTATCAAACCAATAATGTTGTAATGAGACAATTTAAATACAAAAATAACTTTTAAAAAGCAAGTAGGTAATAAATGTAGGGTACTATTTTATATTAAATGAAAAAATTTAGCTAGGATAGAGGGCAAAAAATACCAATTTTAGTTTTGTAATTACCAAAAATATTACAATTGATCGTAATCACTGTCGTTTATATGCTTACAATACATAAAAAGATATTTACGAAGATTAAAAAAATGGCAAATTTTGCAAACACATATCTTAGCTAATACCTTGCAAGGGTGTGAGGATTCCTATTTCTCACACCAAATAAATAAACTATACGATGGTGTATTCGTTAAAATGATTTTTTAGTTGTAAGGTAAAACTTTTGTTAAAATTAATAAGTTAAATATATAGATTTCATCGCAATTTCCATATAATACCGTCATTATGACAATGGGGCCTAAAAGTGCCAATCATATTGGCCAATTTAAGCCCATAGTCATGGGCTGTATATTTGAACCCATATACAATAGAAACTAAACCACCTTTGTCACATCACCTTTGGCATTAGTGTTGGAGTTGTTTCTTGGTTCTGTAAGCCCATAGTGCCAATCTTCTCGTCATTGTTTCTTGGTTATGTAAAAAAACAAAATTGCATCTCTTTGTCGACTGTCAAGATCGAGTATATAGCTGCTGGGAGTTGTTGTTTCCAATTTGTATGGACGAAACAAATTCTTCTTAAAAACGAGATGAAGGTACATTCTAGTCAATTGTTTTGTGATAATACCAATTCCATAAACATATCCAAAAATCATGTCCAACATTCACTCACTAAATATATTGACATTCGATTTCATTTTATTCGAAATCTAGTTGAGGATGATATTATAGTTTTGGATCATGTACCTACACAAGATCAGCTCGCTGATATATTTAACATTAGGCTCTCAACGTTTTATATCTCTAAGAAAATCCTTAGAAATGTGCATTAAGTACATTATACTATATTGCATGGTTTTTTGGTTATCCTTAGAAATTATTTTGGGTACTATTTCGCAACGAAATGTTCCGTTGTTAATATAATTTGCTAACAAAATAAAAAAAAAATTTATTTCCATTGCAAAATTTGTTAGTATTTTGTTGGTAATCTGTTTAAAAAACTTGTATATATAATGCATTGTTAATTCGTTGGTAAACCCCAACGGAAATATTTCCGTTGGTAATTTCTGTTGGCATTTTAACAATTTCTTGTAGTGTGATTTTATTTCCTTATCTTGATGTTTCGCGTCTTGACTGTGAAGTGTATTTATGAGTTGGAACCTTCATATGAAACCATATCTTTTTCTTGTCCGACTATCCATATCATTGTCTCTCTTTGCAACCGGAATTTTCCTCTTCCCTACTATTCTTATTCTATACCTTTTCTATCCCTGAGTTTTTATGTACCTACATCTCTCATTTCTTGTTAGAAATCGAGTTTGGGAACAACAACTGCTGAATTTTTGGCATTTGGATCGAAAACATGGGAATAAAATGCAAAAAGATGGAAATTCTAGTTCTGATTGTCTGGAGTAGTTAGTGGTTTGTTATGAAGATTCATCTGGGTCTTGGTTTGCTCTGATTATACTTACACTTTGAATCATTATTTTGATCAAGTTCATTCATAGGCTCTGGTAGTTCATCTTCGAGCCTTGTCATCCTACTATGATATTTTGATTATTTTGACATGTTATATTCTGAGAGTTGGTGTACGTATACGTCGTGCTATATGGTTCGATTGTTTATAGTTAGACAAATCTTATTAAATACAAGTTCGAGTTCGAAAGGCTCGAGTTTGTTGTCAAACTTGAACTCGCGAGCCTCTTGATTCGTTTGCATTAATGATATTTTTAATTTAAAAATAATAAAATATAAATAATAATATTTAATTACAAAATATACAAAAAAAAATAAAAAATTAAACAATGAAATAATAACTAATAGTTATAAACAATATATAGAATAAAATTAAGCATACCTTCCTACAACCAAGCAAATAGCCAAATACCCTTCATTTGTATATAACACAAACCAAACACCAAATTGCACATAAAATTGTTTTTTTTTTTTTTTTC